CAAACAAACACACTGGCGTGGCGTACAAGCGAAATAATGGGAGAAAATGGAAGAAAATGGAAGAAAATGGGAGAAAGTACTCAAAGAAATTGCCATTGCGCGGTCCGAGCTTCTTTCGCTGGTTGCTCCACCGTTGCAGGCGCCACATTCTGTTCCTTCTGCCACCTTCTCGCCCGGCTGCAAGTGTGTCGCCTTTTTAAAGTGATTTATGTGAAAATCTGAGATTAACGTGGAAAGTGGCAAACGGAGAAGGAGGTTGCAGCAGGTGCAACGGCAGCTTCACCTTGCACCGAGGCTCAAGTATTTCACTGCTCACGTTGTAACACTGCCACTGCCACAGCTCCCCGTATCCGTCGTCCAGCATCTCTTCCCCTGCTTGTTTGTTGATAATGATGATGCTGGCATGAAAATTTATTACTTGGGAAATTACATTATGAAAAATGCATAGGGCCATCCCTGGCAGGGGGTGGTGAGTGGCTGCCCTTCTAATGAGCTGAATGGCTGACAAAGAGGGTGTTCCTCCTGTATTTCATATGCTCAAAATCTGTTTTGGGGGCTTCGCTAGAGCAGAGCCGCTGAGAGAGCAGATTCCCAGGGAAATTGAGCAATCTAGGATAAACGATGGCAGATTAAAGTTCAACTATAATTTCCACAACGTTTAAATCAACAAAATATCCTGTTAACAAGAGCAAAAATTTAAAATTTACCTTTGAAATTTGAATAATTTACTGCAATTAAATGCACAACACAAGTTACAGTAGCATAGTTTTCCGGGCAGTGGTCAATAATCCAGTTGCAAATACACAGTTTACACAGTTAAAATTTTCTCTTTCCATCCACACTTCAAAAATGTATTTCGTTTCATTTCTGGCCTGGATTTATTTTTAATTGGTAATGCCAAACTCGAATTCGAGTCTCCTGTCCACTCCCTCCTAAACCAAAATGAGTTCGAAAATTGCATATTCTGATGGCAATGGGAAATGGCCAAAGGGAAAAACTACATAAATTGCTAAACAAAATTAAAGGGCCACAAAAGTTGAAAGTTTCCTCAGGGGAACACACACACACACAGATGGTGAGAGAAAGAGAGAGGGAGAGAGAGAGAGACAGTGAGTTACTGCTACGTGTGGCTGCAACAGTTGCCGTGGCGTGGCCGCTACGTGGCGTATACGTAATTTCGTCGCGTCTGCTGTCAGGCAGGCAACTAAACAAGCCAAAAAAGGAATGAAGAAAAAACAACTTTTACTCTCAAGGACATGACATGGAGTCGTCTCATTATTTGCCACAGTTGCCACTTTGCAACGCCTTCAAAAATAGCAAAAATAGCAATGGCAAAGTCAGACACACAGACAACAAAACCCAACCAAAAAGAGAACCTCAAGAACCAAATGGATAGAATCGTTGACCTCGTATCAGTTGTGCCAGCAGTCGCGCCTCTGCCGCATGTCGCGTGTTTCAGCTCCCATCATCATCATCATCATCATCAGTGGCGTCGGTGACGGCGGAGACTCATCAACCTACGGTATTCCCGCCCTGTCCCGGCCTGCAGTGCATATCGATGACATATGTTGCATGACAGCGGTGACAAGAGGCAGCCACAAAAACACCCATTGGCGCCTTAGGCTCGTGTTCAAACAAAAAAAAAAGGACACCACACCAGTAAAGGGCTTCCGCAACACGCCAAAAGCAGCCGAAGCGCAAAAAAATTTCATTAAAAGCGGCTCAAGGCTCTTTTGTCCACTGCAGTTGTAAAAGTTCTCCTCGAAGCAATAAGCAAAACTTTTTAATGGATTTTCGTAGGGAATAATATGCCTGTATTTAATATAAATATTATGAATGAAGAAGAAAGAAACGATTCAAGCAGGCAAAGGAAGGTTCTTGGAAAGTTGAGTCACGTTACAAAAAGGCACTTGACTAGCAGCCAAGGCTTTCTGCAGCCATATGGCAAGGCAAAGCACATTTTGGACTGTAAAAACTTGTTAAGACATTTAATTTTATGGCTACACTTTTTAAATTTTGAGTTCTACAACGTTTTTGTATTCATCACTTTGTCAGAGTCGGAGCTGGATTGGAAACTGTTGTTCATTCAGTATACGTTTAAAAATTCATACAACATTCTGTGGACCTCTTTCAATCTCAATTTCATGCTTCGCTGACCGCTCACTCCCTACTCCCCCACTCTCCCTTCAGTCACTTTCACTCTCTTTTTGATGAGAAAACTTTAAATCATTGCCAAATTGAATGGATTTTGGTTTCTGGGCACTGGTTTCGGTTTTCTTTGGCACGGTTATGCATATTAACAGGAGCAACAGCCACAGCAACAGCCAGCAACCACGGCAGACACAACAGCAACAGCAACAGCAACAATGCAACAATTTTGTGAATAATAATGCTCCGGGAAAACTCATCAAAAATACAGAAGCTCTGCTCTGCTCTGCTCTTCTCCGCCCAGACCACCCGACACGCCCCTGTCGAGGGCGCATTCATGAGCTTTTAGAAATTGTAAGCGCATAAAAAATGTAGCAGAAAAAAAAAAGGAAAAAATAAAATAAAAGAAAATCCCTAATGCTACTCAAAGGTATTATGCAATTTTCTTAGCATGTTCATGTATAGTATGTACTACTCGTATGTACTTGTAGTTGTTATCTATGTTTTGATAGAGAAAGCTAGACAGACAGACGGAGCAGCACACATGTGCAGAAAGAGATGGATAGATGGATGGAATATAGTACATGTAAAGAACGAGAAAGAGATAGAGTGGGAGTGGGAGTGCGAGTGCGAGTGGGTGGAGCTGTAGAAAGGAAGGGAGTGAGATATATATCTGACAGGTGCATTAACGAAGTTTTCAGACTACGAAGGCGTCCCTTGATAAAAAATGATGTGAGCGGGAAAGCAATTTGCTTGATTATGTAGAACAGTTGGGGGTGGCAGTGTGTGGGAGGTTGGAAATGGGGCGTGGCACGGCCAGGAAGCTCGCCAAGAGAGGGTGGGAGGGAGCAAGTGGAGGGAGAGAGAGAGAGAGCATAAATCGCTGATGCTTGACGCCAAAGCGGATTTGTCGCATAAGTCATGTCAAATTACTGCAAGAGAGACAGAGAGACAGAGAGTGAGGGAGAGAGAGACAGAGAGATAGCCGGGAGGGGAGTGCAAAAAAAAAGAGTCTGTAAAAAAAATCTGAAAAATTGCATTCAATTAAAGGTGAACGGTAAATGTTGCGTTGACATTCTTTTTTTTTTTGCTCATTCTTTTTGTCTTCTCTCCTTTACTCGTTTTGTTCCAGTTGCGCTTTTTTGCATATTCTTCAAGTGAACTGAACAATAAATTGATTGTGAAAAAGTGGAAGCTCACTTCAAGAAAAAAATACGAATCAAATGCAGGAAACTTCACTCGTAATTCATGGTGCCGCAGCTTTAGATACCCTTCACCTACATACATACATATGCATCTTTTTTTAATCCATTCGGAATCTCCGTTTTTTTTTTCTGTCCCTACAAAATATATTCACTAAGAATAAATGAAATAATTTAATTAGATGGGGCAAGCTTACTTCTCTACGTGGCACATCATGATTGCAAATCTCATAGCACCCTCTTCTGTGAGTGTAAGTGTAAGCCAGAGAACGGTAATGTCTTTTGCGAGACATCTCTAATCAGCAGGAAATCAGTAAACTCGATAGGCGCCCGGGGCGGAACCAGGAGCGAGCGCGGAAGACGTGGATAGATGGATGGCTGGATGGAGTATATGGAATGCCATTAAATGGAATGCAGAGGAATGCTTGAATGGAATGGAATTTAAAGGCATGGCCAGGAGGAATGGCTGCCATCTCAATGACCATTCAACAGTAATGCTTTCTTCACTCGTTCTTTGCATTCAATTCGTTTTCTTTTTTCTTATTTCTTGCACTTTTTACAGGATTTGTTACTCCTTTATTTCTTCTTTGCTTTCTTAAAATTCACTTGTTGGCCATGGTAACCATTTTTGTGGCAGAATTTTCTAAACCTGAATGGAGACTGCAGCTGCTTGAAGTTTAAAAACAAAGAGCAACGTCGAAGAGTCAACGAAATGGACTTGAAGCGGAAATTAACAGCAGATATTACAAGATGCAAGAGACACGCGACACTCGCATTCGATTGCCATTGCATTGATTGTATTTATTGTTACATTGTTTTTAGTGTTTTCGTTATTGTGGTCGTGGAATTTGGCAGTCCTATTTATTCAGTTTCTATCTGCGCAGACTACCGACTTCTTCTATTGCTTGTCCTGGAGAAGACTCTCCAAAACCCAGTGTCACCATAATCATGCACTTTATGGAATGATCCTCCCCCCTTTGATAACAATCATTTGTTTCTTATCATACTCCAAGTGTGAGCATTTTATAGCATTTACATAATTTATAAATTTATGTAAATGATAAACGTAATGCGAACATTTTTGCTCCAGATTTATATTTATATTAATTTGTTTATCTTTATACTTTATACAAGAGTGAAGACAATCTTCCATTTCGGCCATTGGCATACATTTATATACATTAATTTCCCTACCCGCGAACACACCCACAACTTTGAGTAAAACATCTCAAATCTTCGGACCATGATTGAAAAGTCAAGGAGTCCGGGGGAGTCTGGGCCCTGCGTTTACCCATCTTTGGGCCAAGTTTTGGTGTCACTTTAATGCTAAACGGAAGCCATTGACATTGTAAATGCGTCTCGCCCAAGTGTCGTGCCATTTAAATGAGCTTGTCAAGTCGGATTTGAGCACATTAATCACAGACAGTCGCACCGCCACCAAGGACTCTGGTTAATGGCCAAAGGATAGGGATGAAGATGTACCAAAGGAGCTTGGGGGGCTTGAGGGGATGGCAGCTATTAGCACCCCAGCGGCAACGGAGGCTAAACAAATTACTTACAGAACCCCCAATGACAGTTGGAAACAATTTCTGTACAATTTCAGCTGAAGACAACATCATCATTATCGTTGTCCACTACGGCAACTCTTACCTGTCATACTCGCGATTGTCCTCGTCACAGCGATTGTCCTGCAGCTCTCGCCAGCTCTTGCCGTGGCGACAGGTGGTGACCAGGACCATATCTCGTCCGTTGTGCAAATGGAAAAGGGAGTTGCGCGTCTCCGAGCCAATGCCATGCACATAGCTGGAAATATAAAACATTTAAAGTTGTTGTTTAGTGATGCATATCGCTTGGTAAATATATTTATATTAATGTAAAAAACGATACAAAAAAGAATTGAAATCATTTAAGTCCGATTTTCCATGGGAATTTTCATGCTCTGGTCATTTCTTAGATTTAGTTTGAGGATTTCCTTCTTCAGTTCCAAATCTAAATTGTTTTCTGTTCGAGTACAACAATCATTGGCTCAGTTCTTCATTTGTTTTCTTTGCCGCATATCAAAACCTTTCGATTGGATTTCGTACGTTTGAAGTTGTCTTTGCACATCGGAAAATGCTGACATCAACAGAAGTGTGGGGGGAACGGACAACGAAGAGAAGGAAAATCTTTGTTGGATACACTGCAAAAATGAAACAAAAGTAAAGTAAAGTAACCGGAGCATTAAAGGAGACGTGAATTACTCTGCTTTCCGCTTTTTTTCCGCAGTGTAGTGGCCGCTGGATTAAGCGCCTCAGATTTGTTCAGTTGGCATAAACAGCGGCGTCAAAATCAATTGCAATAAAGCAGCCACCCTAGGGAGATTGGGAAGAGGGCATCGGCGGATGGGGAGGGGGATCGGCTTTGGGTTTAGGCAGGAGAGCAGAGCATCTAGATGAGATGCGGGCGTTGGTGTGGGAGCAACTTAAGTCCAAGTCGTTGTCTGCCTTCAGAGCAATTGAAACAAAAGACGCCGCACCAGCGTCACCAACAATAGCCACTGCACACACACACACACAGATACAGATACACAGATACGACGGACAGTAAACGCTCTCAAGTGTACGGCTAAGCAAAACGGCATCAATGGGGCAATGGAGCAATGGAGCAACAGCAACAGCAGCCACCACACAGTGGCATCTAGAAGGGGCATCTCTATCGCATCAGCAATCGAGCAGAAAACCAGTAAGACAGCTAAGATTGAGAGTGTTGCGACTAAGGGATACCCACTATTGGGGATAAATCTAAGAAATTCTGGTTAAAATTAGCCGTAAACAGAAAAGGGAATTCTTTACCCAAAATACAGAACATACCCCCTGAACTTGCACTATTACGGGGTATAAGTAGCAGAAGCATTAGAGAAAAGATGGAGGGAATCATGTGAGCAGGATAAGGCTTCTCCTGTCTGTGCAATTTCCTTCTGCTTGGCTTGCAGTTGAGCAAATTTCATACACAATGAAGTATGGGTTCAGGGTGCACCTCCAACACCCACCCCCACCCGAAAATAAACCAAACGGCAAAGCAAACTCTCTGCCACGATGCCACACATTGAACAGCAGCAGATTGGGCAGCGCTGATTTCCGTTGTCCGACAACTGGAGCAAGGAGCAGACTTTGGGGCAAGCAACCTGCCACAGAGAGTAGAGTGCACAGCGAAGCAACATCTGAACATCCCAGAGATTGGTGGTGGTGTGGGGGGTGCGGGTTTTGGTTTGGGGGCTAAGCCATAAGTTATTTGATTTAATCAGCGTGTCGTTGCCTGTGGCGCCTTTTGGGGTTACGAATAGAATTGAAATGGAACAGAACGTATATGTATGTGTTTTGTGTGTTGTGTGCGAATGTGTGTGTGTGCATCGTATCAATTGTTATGGCAATATCCAATAGGACCAATACAAAATTGGGTCACTTTAGTTTGAGAGAAAGAGATTTATTTTCCACCAAAGAAAACAGTAAAGGCAAACAGCATGAACGATGGACATAGGCAACGTCTTTAATATATGAGAACTGCCATGAAGTGACGAAAGATCGAATCCAATTTTAATAGCCAGAATGAACAAAACTTGTTGAACAGCGCCTGAGGTGCTGTATGTTTGAACACCTGTCGTTTGAACACTATTCAACACTATAATAAAATTATAATTGGATATTCTGATGACAGCAGCTAAGAGATACTGAAAGCTCAAACTAGACTTGGAATAGGAATAGGAAGAAGTGAAACATTGATGTTAGTGGAAATGAAATAGTGAAAATACAGAATCTTTTTTTTATATTTTTTTGTTTACATTTTAAATTAAAATTAACATAGTAGAGGATGATTGCGGCAAGAACAAATCCCAATATATTTTACTGGAAACCCAACGAATTGAAAACCAATTTTGCCCCCAAAAAGAAAAAGCCCGACTATGCCGCATATAAATTGTATTTATTCACGAATTTATTTGTCAATTTATTTCCATAACAAATCTGATTGAACATGACAGCGCAGCACCGCCCTGGTCGAAAAGCCCCAACAAAGAGACTTTTATTCTATGAGGCATCTGGGATTTTCCAGATTCTCGCTTATGCGACTTTCCTTTATTTTTTGTCGTGTAAATTAATTTAGAAGAGAGATGGCAGTCACATTAATATAAATTAAGTGCAGATAGGCTAAGAAAAATGCTTTCAGCGCAGCCATAACAAGCAGGAAATGGTCTGCTGTAATCTAATTTATGCCTTCAATGGCCAAGATGGGTAGGCAGTGGTTCCCTTCGTCTTCAATGAAGTTTAAAGAAGAATTTTCAAGTACTATTAGAGGATCAAAGAAGTAGCAAATATACAATATAAAATTATACATATTTGAAATTTTAAAATGAAATACTCAAAGCAAAATATAAAGAATTCATAGCACAATTATCTGAATCCAAATGGAAGCCGAACTGCCGAATGCCCAACCTGCTTGATGCATAAAACCTTCGATTAAATGATCTCTTATGCCAATTAAAATTATTTGACGGTATTTTTACAACGTATCAAAAATATGTTCTCGGAAATAACTGGAATATTTTTTGTTTTGTTTTACTTTAATCTCCTCACATATTTTCAATTTTTCGAAATCATTTACCTAGCAGAAAAAAACCAACTACCAGAATGGTTCAATTAAATATTGATTGGGGCCAAGCGGCAGGCCGCAAACAATTCCCGCACAGAAAAAAAGAAAGCACAGCATGAGAGCCAAGGCAAAGGACCAAACCACGTACCCTCCCCCTGCCCACCCCCACCAAACGCCATTTGGTGGCTGTCATCGGCATGCCTCTGACAATAAAGTGCAATAACCAGGGGGGACAGAGGCACAGCAAAGCGGTGGACTTTGGCAGAGTGTCCCACGATACATAGCAGGAGGGACTGGTACTCCTGGTACTCCTGGTACTCCTCCTGACCACTAATCCAAACATAATCTAAAATAATTGAGTATGCCCGGGACGCGCAGCTTTTTCGCCCTGAATAATTTATGCGCGCATTAAATAAGCTTAAAATGTGCTCCGCTACGTCTGTCCATGTGCGCAGACTTTTCCCCAGTGGTGTATCCTGGCATTGTCTGCCCCGGGGATCGGCTTACACGGGTTAATGCCTTCTGCTTGGACCCTTACGACGGGCTATGGCTTATGACATAAGTTTATTCTCTCGTTTCTTGGACTCTGCATCTGCAGAGTGGCGTGGCGTGGAGTGGAGTGGAGTAGAGTGGGATGGGATGGGGTTGGGTTGGGTTGGGTTGGGTGTCGCCCGGGGCTATGCAGCAGCCACTGCCCCCATCTGAGGCTTATCTATGCAGCTTCAAAGCTTTTGTGATGACAAAAACGGGAAGACGCGGCGGCGTATGCGCAATATTTCTAGCTCTCTAAAGAGTTTCTTCCACTTTTGTGTGTGTGTGTGTGTGTGTGTGTGTGTCTGTGTCGCGTCTGTCTCTCTGGAGCATACAAATTGTGTCGCCATTGGAGGGAAAACTGCAACGAGAGCACCAGCAGAAACAACAACAGTGAAAATTCAGGATAATGCCTGAAAGATACCCACACTTTTCACAGCGTACATCAGCTATCCAGAAGAGACAATGCAAATTTTAATCCAACGAATTTTTGGAAGACAGAAAATGCCACCAAATAAAAAAGACTTGGCTTGGATAATTGTTACTGGATTAAATCGGGGCTCTGGACCCCCTCTACTCAACCAACGTTTCCTTCTGCCTATATACCCTGGCTAGTACCAGAATTGCCATTGGGTATCATCAAAACCGGAACAACAGAATCGCCACTGGCATTAAATCAATGCAGAGAACAACTACAACGACAATGACAATGCACAGGACATGCTGGAGGGAGCTGGAAAGCGAGTGCGGAAAAAATGGAGCAGCAAAGGTAGGAAAAATGCATTTTTATTCTCGTAAAATATACGTAAATATATTATTAAGTGCAGTGGCAACAACAAATTGGTTTATGCAAAAGAAAAAAAAGGGAAAAAAGAGAAACGCATTAAATGGCAGGTCATGAAAATAAATACGAAAGGACACATGCGAAAAGGATCCATGCGAGGGTTACTTCATGGATGTTTTAGTTCTCCTTTAGTTTTCTTCTTTCCTTCTTTAGTTTTTCCTTTTGAAATATTTGCCGCGAGGATTCGGATAATTCTTGAAGCAACCCTCTGGCATATTTTCTCCCACATAAAGTGCTCTGCTTTCCCTACTCCTGAGCTGCAGTGTCCCTTCTTCAGTTTGCCCCCGTCGGCTCTTTGGGTGTCATCTGTAAATCCGACCAACGGCCACGCCCCATATCCTGTGCCAGTGTCAGTAGTACTTTCGTAGGCGAGCATCGATCCGTATCAATCAGGGGTCCTGCTCTGCTGGACTGGGCTTTCTGGTTCGTCTCTGGCCTTCTTTTGTTATGCGTCCAATAAGGATTCCCCCATAAGCATCTAAGCATCCAGTACGACTGTCAGTGTGCGTGTTTGTTTGTGTGTATCCCAAGAACCCCAATGCGAATGTTGTCCACGTTTTAGATACAACTTGAGCCCAGGGGAAAGGACCACACTGAGCGAAAAAAAAAAACCAGAGTGGCACAATGAGAGATCAATAAATATCTGTAGATATTTTCCCACAAACTTTTAGTTTTGTATTTTAATTTAAACGTTTTTCTGCTCCTTTCTCGCATTTAACAAGACTTTTTCTCTCAGTGTTGTATTGGGTAAGGGCAGAGAAGTCAGTAGCTGCTACTGCTGCTGTGGCATCGACTTGCAGGCAAATTTCATGCTCATACAATTTGTAGTCGGCCCTCCGCCTTATGCTTGACTAACAGTTACAGTCGATGCCGCACCCAGGAGTGCCACCATGCCACCCACCAAGCCTCTTACTTAGTCCTAAGTCCGCCAGCCTGTTGGGTGTTCTGTTTGTGTGTTCATTGTTGCTGAGGCTTGTTTGGTTTTATTGTGTTTATATTTGGCTTAGGGCATCACATTTTGCTGCCATACATACGTCCTACGCGTCTCTCCCTACCCACTGCGAAAGCAACTCCTATTACAAGAGATAGGCAGGATGGAGCTATGCTCCTAGGCAGGAATAATACAAATATGTCTACATAGAAGTGCGGTTATATGTCATGCTACACTTTGGATACACATGCGTCGGTGGGCAGGGGGCAGGGGGCATGGGGCAGGGGCCATGGCGTGCTGCATTAGAGTGTTTCTGCTGCTGCTGCTGCTGCATCGATTACACATAATCCATTTACACAAATGGCATTTTAAATACATTATTGACTGGAAGCTCTTTGCTACACAAACGAAGCACTTTTGCGTATGCGTAATGTTCAAGGCAATCCAAAGAGCTGCTCTGCAAACACCATAATCCATCCCCAGCCCCCTTCCCGCCCAAGGAGCTTCCTTCCATTGTGTGTGTGTCCCATTTACCAGCTGTTTAATTAGTGCACAAAATGCAATTATTTCAACTTGATAAGCTTCTGGAGGTCATGGCTAATTGCAACATAGTTGACTTAGGAATCTTATGCAGACACGAGTAAGGGTACTCATCCAGCGCCATCAAATCATTAGGGGTGAATTTGAGTGCAAATAATTAGCTTTGTCTATTGCTTTTCACTCCAAGTTAACCTGGGTCAACTACAGCAACCACATGAATCCCCCCATTGACTTCAGTACCGGCTGCAAGGTAAAGCGGCTCCAAAAAGTTAGAAATATACCAAATAAATTCCACAAAAAGATCATAAAATACATCAAAATATAAGAAACAGATTCCAGAAAAAGCACCATAAAAATACTACTTAAAATTCTTACAAACCAAAATAAAACACGCATTCTGAGAGTTTTCTTTTATTTCCACACAGAAGAAAATAAATTCATCCGTAAACTTAAGTCGTAATACGAAAGATATATTTACTCGTAAAAATAACCTACTCGCATATACTCGTATTTTGTACATATTTATATTCACATTAAGCCAGGGCTCCGCACGTAAACAAAAATGTGGTTAAACATTTATCGAGGCTTTTCTTTTTTGGATTTCCCATCCATTTAATCTATAATCAAATTAATTGCAATTAAATGCATATTCGTATGATATTTAATTGAAATAAATTCCATTATGAAAGTTAACTGAAATGCATTTGCATTGAATCTGCAACTGAAAGTGCACTGAAATCTCATTAACCCTTTGCGAAAAACGAAATTGCATGGAGAGAAATTTACACTCGCATAAAAAATCATTTTTCCTCTTCAGTGGGACAACAACTGTCAATGGCAATAAAGCATTCCATACACAATTTGGTTTCAGTCTCTCGAAACTATGTAAAAGCTTTGCACTCTTAATGGGATATATTATATACATAGATGAAGGGTGCCACCTGGCACAACTGTAAGTATGTACCTCTGCTCGTGTCTGTTTGTATTCGAGTGGCATCAACACTGGACAAAAAGTGCATTTTATGTAAAGTATTTATCAGCAACATGATAACGATCCTAATGATGATGATGATGATGATGATGATGTGGCACACACGCTACAAAGTCATTTACTTAACGGAAAAGTTTTAGCACGTTTCCCATGGCCAGATGGCGTTCACTGGCCAGTGGCCATCCAATTGATGAAAATGGGCACGAAAATGGGTATGGATGGGTATAGATATAAGTAGATATAGCATGTGGCATGTGAGGCAATGCTCATTAATAAATTATTAAATAATAATTAAAAATTTGCTGCTTGGTGCCTGGCAAAAAAAACTTAAGAAATACTTACAACAAATTACATACAAGAAAAAACAGCAGTGGCAGCTGAAAAAGAAGGCGAAATCAAGCGTCAAGAAATGCATACGGAAATCAAAACAGCAACGAGAAGGGTAGAGGTAGAGGCAGAGAGAGAGAGAGAGAGCGAGAGATGGGACTGGTGTGAAACAATGTAAAGGAAGGAAGAAAGAAGCTAAATACATAGATGGAACGGACTGACGGACAGACAGACAAGACAAACCGCAAGCTCAGAGAGGAGAGACCTGAAAAACTAATGGAACTAATTGCCCGACGAAAGGCGGCCAGCTGGAGCTTGTAAAATGGCATGGAGAGAAGAGGGAGAGTCCCGATATGGCATGAGGCCATTGTTCCCCCCCACAGCCACTCCTAAAACGAGTCGATGCAATGCCAAGCTCAAAGCCAAAGCCAGAGGCAGAGGCAGAGCCAAAACCAAAGCCTAGTCAAAGCCAAGCTCTGGTAATTGGAGCAACCTGCCACATGCCACACAGCCCAGCACAGCATAGCAAAAGCAAGTGGCAAGTATATAAAAGCAAGTGCTTGGCGCGCTGGCGCCGGCAGTTACAATTTGCGCATAAACCCGACCAGATCCCGAGCTCCCGTCAAACGACTAGTTAAATATCGGTGGGAATCTGCATACAGTCAGTTGCAACATGAGGAAGCATTGCGTAAGTAACACAGACACAGACAGCGGAAGGAAGCAGCTGGAACACAATGGAATATACTCGACCCAACCAACATTCACTTTCAATCTGCATTCCCCTTACCACCCAAAATTAGATCTATTGGATTTGGTTGGTGTTGCTGCTGAGGCTGATCTTCGTGAGGGCCGAACAGCAGGCGGATGAGCACAGGTGAGCCAGACATGAAAGGAACTATAAGAAATTCAAGGAAAATATTGATCTACTATTAATGAAGCATTTAAGGGGGGGATTGAGTGAGAGACTGAACTGAATGATGCTCAGAAGAATGGAAAAGTATTACTAATAATTTTACTTGCAAATTCCACTCATTCATTCGTTCATTCATTCATTCAAGAGCACTTCATACTCTCAAAACAATGAAAACAATACCAACTCGTGCTTCTCCCACAATTATATGTAGTTTAATCATTGAATAATTATTGTAATTGTTATTGTAATTACAAATGACTTTCCCTTTTTTTTTTGCGGAGACTTGACTTTCACTTTTCTCCACCTTCCAACACCGCAGAATCCAGCGTCGCTTCATGTGGCAAGAGATGAACAACTCTGTGATGGGCAGCGTCCTGGGGCGAATGTTTGGCGGTGCCAGGGCCATGAAGTCCCTGTTCTCGGACCTCCTGCCCGCGGCGCCGGGCCACACGAAGAAGAATCCCGCGACACTCGATCTGAGGCCCACGGAGATGACGCGGGTGAAGTACATCATCCGGAATCCGCACACCCACAAGCCGATGAAGATCATCAAGATGCGTCCGTCGGCCAAGAAGGTGGTGAAGCTGCGGGGACCGCTGCCCAAGCCAGGCGTAGTCACGGAGTCGACATCGTATTCCCTCAACTTTGATCAACGCATGCGACAGCTGGAGAAGGAGCAGGAGCTCATCGCCGAGGGCAAGGCACCGCTGAGCAGCGACGAGGACCTCATGGATAAGTACTTCCGGAAGAAGCCCAAGGGCGGAGGCAGTGCCAGCAACCAAATTGTCACCGGCAAGAACATGCATTACCAGAGCTGGAAGCCCGTCTACAAGTCCGGGGAGCAGCCCAGCTCCTTTGTAACCCTGCGGCCACAGGCCCTCACACAGCTGCACACGGACATATCCGCCAGCGGTGGACATCATGAGCATGAGCATCAGCATCAGCATGAGCATGAGCATCAGCATGAGCTGCTGCCTAAGCCGGAGAAGCTGGTCAGCTACGAGTACAGCCGCGAGGAGCAGCAGGAGCAGGAGGAGGAGGCCGAGAACGAGGTGGCCAAACAGATGGGCCACCGCTACGAGGTGACCGAGCACACGGGCGAGGCGAGCGGCGAGTTTGAGGCTGTGGCATCGATGGAGAGCGGCTTTGTGCCCAGCAAGGGATATCGGAGTCAACCGCAGCAGCACCAGGAACACCATTCACAGCAGCACCAGGAACACCATTCACAGCAGCAGTCACCGAGGCCGAGGAGCCGTGGCAGCTCCACCACTAGCACCACAACCAGCACCACCGAAGCCCCCAACTATCCCCCCTCGTTCCTGAAAAAGTACCGCGAACGCGAGGCGGCCACCACGAGGCGACCCCGCAAGCACCAGCACAAGCAGGAGATCATCCACATCCATCATGGCGGTGGCAGTGGGGAGGAGGATGACTTGACCACCACCAGCCAGCCACCTTCCCCCTCCTTCTCGATGAGCAGCATGCGTGCCCGACTCCAGGAGCAGCAGCGTCGCACCAAGCACCAGCAGCGGCTGCAGGAGGAGGAGGAGGAGTACGAGGCGGCCCTGGTGAAGGCCATGCACGGAGACAAGTGGCCAACGGAGGTGCAGGGTAGTGGCTTCCAGCTGAGCAGCCCCATCGGTCCCAGTGCGGTGGCCTTCGAGCAGCCGTTGCCAGGAGAAGCAGCAGCAGCAGCCAAGTATCCGCATCCCAAGGAGCACAAGCGGCCGCCGCGTGCCAATATCCGGGAGCGGGGATCTGTGAAGTTTGGCGACAAACCCAGCTACGAGGACGACGAGGCCTGACGAGAGAGAGCGCGAGAGAGCGAGCGAGAACGAGCAGGGGAATGGATATTTCCCCAACCAAAGAGCCAAAGCTGCAGTTAAGCTAGGATGGGGGGGTGGGTTAGCCAAGAGTTAACCAACAGTTAGGCTAAAAGTTAACCAACAATTAAGATTAATTGCCTAATCTCACAACTAAGTTTGCGTTTGCCCAGTAAAAGCGAAGTAGAAGAAACAATTTAACAACTATTTCCCCATTTGATTTCTGCTTTCAGTTGGGTCTGCCCATGGGTATCGGGGCTAAAGGAATGTGGGCATGGCATGGTGCGGTGCGGCATGTGGCATGTGGCTGTGTGGGACCAAACACCTCAAAGTCAATGCACTCCTTGCACGCAAGACTCAACTGCCGCAACGGACATAACTTTGGGAAATATTTCCCCTTTTAATTAATGCCAACTTGCGTTTTTCATTGCCTTTTTATAGTAGGCGGCGGGTATACATTTATTCCATGCGTGTGGAATGCATGCAAAATCACAGAAGAAAGCATTTCCCAGGCCATAGATCTGCTGGATCTCAGAGTTTATTAGAGCTAGAGTAGCCAAAATGTACAGAAATAATTCTAAGTTTTTCCCTGAACAAGAACATACTTTCTTTAATTTATTGATCTATTTACTGGTTCCCTAAAGACAGGAAAATGTTGACAATAAAGCTAAGAAACTTTGTGAATTACTAATGAAGGCTATTATCTAAAAGTCTAGAAAATAATAGCACAATCGAACTATTATTATAGCAGTCAAAGAAACGAAATGTAAATGGAAAATGATGAATATTTTATTTGTCTACTCCCATTTAAACGCTTGTTTATTTCTGGCAAACGTTCTACAAAACACAACACAATATGTACTGGGAGGGGGTGGGTATCCGTCATTCAGGAGTGTACACTTGTATCGCATAGAGTGGTATTTTTGTGGCTGTTGGCAGCTGCTGCTATCGCATTCCTCTTAACGGCTTGCATTTGACAACTAATTTAAAAAGTTTACTTGGGCAGCCTTGAGGCTGACCCCGCGGGGTGAAATCGAGTACGTTGACTACAAAGTAGGTTAAACCTGCTATAAATTCCAGCAGCAGGCCGAACAAAAGCCATAAGACACACAAACACACACACACACACAGTAAGCGTTCCCTTGAGGGGAGAAGAGAGAGAGAGAGAGAGATAGGAAGGGAGGGATGGGAACAAACAAAGAAAAGCGCATTTCCACTTTGAGTGCGGTTTTTAATCAACTAAAGCAGCGGCAACAACAAAACTGAAACTGAATTAAACAAAAAAAACAAAACAAAACAAAAAAAAAACGAGAACTCGAGGAAAAAAGTCCAGAGAGAATCAGAGAAAGGAAAAAAGCAGTAGCGAAACAGTGAGGGAAGTTGGAGGAGGAGTAGGAGGAGGGGCGAGGAGAGGGAAGGGCATGGACAAACGCGATAAACTTTAAATGAAACGACATGTCGGCTTAACAGGGACAAACGCTTGGTAAAGGGAGGGAAAGGGAATGCCAAGGGTAGGCGGTGGGGCAGAGAGCCAGAGATAGCCTACAGATTGCAATTGCAGATAATACACGAAAGATAAGAGAATATTCTACTCGCATTTGCAATGTGCAATGGGCGAAACGAAACGAAACAACGAAGGAGAGAGCGAGAGGAATGCATGCCCAAATTTACGGTTATGTTGTGCATCAGGTGCAATTTAGCTAGCTAGTTTAGTTCCAATTGGCTTTAGATGAAAGTTTAATTGGATTGGATCTTTAATAAACTTTTTGACTGAGAGAGAGAGAGATAAATCTCTTGATTGTGGTGGATCCCTTTTGCTCTACGACGCGTCGTCAAGCTTGTTCGATCTTGCATGAATGATCAAGTCGCGTAGGTTCGAAGCGAACATGCATCGAACATTTTGGTTCGAGCTTGCTGTTCGTAATCGAACATGTCGGAATCATACTGCTCGCTTGTGGCCGGAAACGGACTTCACGAAAAGGTATTTTGCTATGAAATAAAGAGTCGAAAAGTTTTTAATATTTGAATCTACATAAATTACATTTAAAATTTACAATAATTAAGGCATATCTCTCAGCTAAAGCTTATTTCATAACGTTAACCACAACTAATAAACTTTCATTAAATTTTTAAAGTTTAAGCGGAAAGATTAGATAGAAAATGTAACATTTCTATCAAGATGACTCAATAAAAAATTTTGTGTAACATCCAAAAGTTATCCAGTTTGGGTGCTTCCCATTTTTCAAGGACATTATTGGGCACATGGCCGGCGTTGGCTTCTGTTGGCTTCTACCTCCTTCACTTTTTGGCATTTTCTGGTTGGGGGCCGATGTCGACCTGTACCTGTCCAAGTGCTCACCGGCAGGAAACTTACATACATATTTCCCCCCACCCCCAAGCCCTCTCACCTGCTTCTCCGCCTGCTATCCACCTCCTATCTTCATCCATTCTGTCGTTGTGCCACGTCGCACCGTCGAGTGCACCAAATACAAATTAGAATTTAAATGAACAATGCAACCAGAACGGAAGTTTCCATGGGTCTGAGTGGATTTTTGTTGGTGCGGATGTGTGGGTGATGCCACGCCCACACCCACACCCGCAGCCAAATGTGTAGGTGACATTAGGGGCGCAGGTTTGCAGGTTTTCAGGTTGCACGTAGAGCGGAGCGCGTGGTGCCCAACAATAGCCAGAAAAAGAACAACAACAACTGCTGCCAATGGCCATAATGTCATGCAGTTTTCGCGCACTTTTTGCCACTGTTTTTTTTCCCCCCTTTTTCTCCATCTCTTTCTTCCACGAGGCAGTTCTCTTCATCCTTAGTTCTGCGCTTTTCGGTTTATTTGAAGAGAAAAACTTTGGAGATTTCTGCAACGAACTTGTCGTCAAACTGGGTCGGTCGGTCGCCCTCGACTCAACGTCGAAATGTCAAAAGGATAAACGGAATTTGCACTGGAAAATATTGAGAGTCCATCGAATGGGTTGATTTCCGATTGAAAGCTGGAATGATGATTATTGTGGGAATGGGGAAAGGGAGCTCCGATTTTATGATGACACAACTGATAAGTGACCAGAGAAATATGCAAGCGATTTCAACTGCAATGCAACGCTGAACGTTCCACATCCTACATTTAAACAGTTTAAGCCCCGAAAGCACTCCTCCTGTAAGCTGTTTTTGTTTCCACCTACAAGTGGATGATACCCCATATAATTTAGGGTATGTATTTACTGTGACAAGCCACCACATCGATTGCGCAAGACCACGATGGATGGCAATGGTTCGTGCATTTATAGCCATTCTTTTGACCAAGAGAATCCTTTAAATCGTGTAAACTGTCGGGTCAATTAAGTATTGGAAAAGGCATTTAATTTATTGCACGAATCAGCCAACCATTCAGCCAACTCATTTATTCATTCACACATTCGTTCAATTATTCATTCATTAATGCTCCTGGCACCCACTGTCGGACCCTGCTGCTGTCAAATTGCAATTTATTAAAGTGAAATTCTTTTAATTAAAAGACAAGAATGAATAGCTTGCAGTGGAAGTCGAAGCACTCGATACTCTTACAGATCTATGGGATAGAGGGCATACAAAAAACTTTAAGAGAGCAACTGCCTGGCATGCAGACGATTGTCTCTGCCCAAACTGCAACCCAAGAGAATCACAGTCACACAAAAACGGAAAATAAACTCACTCACATTTCTTATCGCTACTAGAAAAAGGTGTTCCACTTATGAGAGAGAGAGAGAGCTGGTGAGAGAGAGATTGGCCTATAAAAGCCCGTACTGTTCTATGGAACGCAACCATTCCCACGAAAACATTCACTAACAAAAATGATGCCGGGAGAACTGCCAGCCACCTTTGTCAAGGGCTTCCACAATGAGGAGCTGGTGCGACGCATGGAGTACCGGGAGCTGGGCAGCACTGGTCTACGAGTATCAAAGATTGCACTGGGAGGCGCCACCCTTTCCGGGCTCTTGTACAACGACTTCGATCGAGAGGAGGGCATACGGACGGTGCAGGAGGCCATCAAGTCGGGCATCAACTACATCGACACGGGCGGGGGCGGCCGGCGGGCGGGGCTTCCCGGTGGCTATGCGTGTTCCGGGCGGGCGGGGTTGGGCCTGGAGGTGCTGGCGGTGGCTCCCACCTGGCCCAGCCGACATCGTTCTCAACGAAACCATCCCCGTCCTGGAGGGGTATGTGAAGGCGGGCAAGGCTCGCTTTATTGGCATCACCGGCTACGACGTGGATGTGCTGCAGGAGTGCGCCGAGCGGGGCAAGGGTCGCATCCAGGTGATCCTCAACTATGCCCGCTATACGCTGCTGGACAACACTCTGCAGCGCCACATGAACACCTTCCGGGAGCTCCATGTGGGCATCGTCTGTGCCTCTGCCCATGCCCTGGGACTGCTCTCCAATTCGGGGCCCTATGCCTGGCACCCGGCTAGTCCAGAGCTCCAGGCTGTGGCCCGACGGGCGGCCGACATTTGCAAGGAGCGAAACGTTGAGCTGGGAAAGCTGGCCATGTACCACACCATGCAACTTGAGGGGGCGGCCACCTTCCTCACCGGCATGCCCAATCGCCAGCAGCTGCGGACGAATCTGAATGCCATCTTCGATGGCCTCACCCCGCACGAACAGAAGGTGTTGCAGTATCTGCGTGAAAAGTGAGTAGTAGTAGTGTCCAATCCCCCGATCTACACAAAATTATTTTTCAACATGTATTTTCTTTCTTTTTATTTGTTTCTCAAGTGTTTTCACCAAGTCCTATAGCTGGGGTTCTACCCTGTCCACGGCCAATAGGCTAGAACAACTTCAATAAGATCTGGGCGGAATGGACATGCCCTGAAGACTGCGAAAAGGATGCTGGACAGGGTTTGGAAAATGTAACACTTAAGGCAATTCTGTAGCTCAAAGGATAAACATTTTGAGAAATATAACATTCGAAGGCAATTATGCAAAGGATATGTACTTTATGAAGCAATAAAAGTTGTCGTTATTCCAGCAAATACTTCGAATTTCGAATTATAGATACGGGTATGCATATATATATATGTATGTATGTAAAATGTTCATACGTATATACATATATGCCTAATATATATAATAATATCTATACTTTAAATTTTTAGAAAAAAATGTGTGTGTAAGGGGCAATCTCGGCAACGCGTGCACCAAATTGCATATGGCAATTGCAAATTTTTAAATGATAGACAGGAGTATGTGGCATGGTTTTTATAAAAATTAAGAAGGAAACGTGTGAGCGACTTTTTTGGACGCGACTCTACTTTTATACCCGTACTCAGTCAGTATATAAATTTGTGAGCTTATGATTTATGTAGAGTCTTTTACACTTTACAAATACACTTGTTGAACTTGATGCTGATCAAGAATATACATATATACTTTATGGGGTCGAAAACGTTTCCTTCTCTGCGTTGCACACATCCACTTTTACCACAAATCCAATATACCCATTAACTCGTTTTGAGTACGGGTATAAAATGGTTTACTTTTCTATAAATAGGTTCCTCAAAAATTAAAAATTAGTCAAAAAAATGTCAAATTGGTGCAAAAAATGTGTGTTCGAACGCCAATTTCATTTCATTTTGTGCCATTCTGTAGAACGGAACATTTTATGACAGATTTTGTTTTTATACCTTTTTGTGTGAAAAATTGTTTTCTGAAAAAATTGCAAATTAATGTATGTATATATGTAATATGTATTTGTTTCTATCGATTACCATTGTTTAATTTCGATTAATTCCTAAAGATTAAATTTAAATTAATTTAGTAAGCTGCAAAGCGCGCGGGTCTAATATAATATATGTATATACCTATGCATAATATATATATGCAAAGATACAAAGATTTACACTTGGCTTCTTTATGTTTGGTTTGCCCAAACACTCTACAATGCAAGCGGCTTCATTGAAAGTTACATTGGATTGATTTTGTTTGCACCCAGGAAGCTGGAGAGAGAGATAAGAGAGGCACGTAAGGTTAGGCATTCTAACATCTGTCTCTCAGCAGCTCTCCTAAAACATTTACAAGCCCAGCAGAAACAAAAAAGATTGAGAGCGCACGCTGGGTACGCCTCACCATATCTACATATAGATCATGAAGCTAGCAGGTAGCCAGCAAACTCAGAGATCAGGAGCAATGGTATGCTCTCTTCCACTTGCACTCTGATATGTATAGCTTGTCCAGCAGATACTCGTAGTCGTGCTCTCTTAGCACAGCACAGACAAGAGCACCGACAAGAGCACAGCAGCACTCAATAGAATAAGAATAAGAATAACTAAGCTCTCTTCCTACATTCTATTAGAAATTGTAATTAATATTCTGTTATCTGTTATTATATATGCATGCCAATCCGTTGTCGGTTATCCCTCTGGTGTGTAGAAGCGAATTTCAACAGAGCGGGCAATACATGTGTAGATTAAAGATTGGACGCCGATCGAAATTTCTAGAATTGCTTTTCCCACTATCTATTGCGACATATATTTTCCCTCTAATCTAGCGCATATGCCACGACTCGTTCGGCTGCTTAAGTATAAAAATCATAGTAGCCCCGCACAATAAAAGGGTATAATGACAGGTGAGATATGGACGGAAATGGGGGAGAAGGTGGCTGGTTGGGCTGTGTCCAGGCTGTTTCTGCGGGAGGCGCGAACGTGGCACACTGAATTCGTGTCCGAATTGGATTAATTATGGATATTGACAGCATTCCGTTGAAGCCAATTTGGCTGGGTTTTTCGAACCATGCTCCTTTTGCATCTTTTATCCGAGCATTGAACTCGCAATCAACAAAAACGGGACGAGGGCGCGGAGGATTCATTTGGCATAGAAAACATTTTGTTTGCTTAATAAAACTCCCACACACACACACACACAAAACCCGCTAACGGATGGGGGGAATACCACGGAGTCGATACCAGCTTCGCCCTAGCGCACGTTTAGCGTCAGGTTTCCTCCAAGTGCGAAATGTTCCCGCCTCGCTAAAAAATTAAATATTCAAATATAGCTGCTGCCACAGCACAGAGCGGTGGGAAAAGGGGAGAAAGAGTGGAGGGAGTAGAGTGTGAAGGCGAAAGGACAAGGGGCAGATGAGGGTAGAGTGCTTCCAGGAGGAGTCGTTTAGTCGTTTTGGGGGGAGGCTGAGCGCCAGCCAGAGCGCTCTCGAACTAAAGAGGGACACAAACGGCACTGCGCTTCTGTGGATGCTACACACAAATACACAAACAAAACACACACACACACACACCCACACAACACGCATTCATATTCATATGGAACAGGCGACAAAAGGCGTCGCATTCGATGCGGGGGAGACTATTAGCTCTTGAATATAATTTGAGCTTTGAGTGAATATCTCTCTGGGGAACATTTTGTTATGTAAATCTGTACATCAATCGAATGATCTCCAATCGGATCTCTAGTTATTAATAATTGTCATACAAACTCCTTGTTTATTTAAGAGATTTTCTTCGAATAAAAACCAAAGGAAATCTACGATCTGCCATCTTATCAGCCCTAATTGATTGAAAACGAGTGCCTGAAACGAGTACTCAGAGAAGATCTGCTGGAAAAACGACACCTTTGTCGCCTGGCCATCATTTGCTTCGAGCTTCTGTTTTATGTAGAGCTCTCTGGCAGAAACTAGCGCAGTCGAAGGCCCAGCGGGCGAGTGCCAGCAGAATGGAGTCTGTGAGCTGGGGGTCTAGGGAGGTGTTTTCGGAGAGAACTTTATGAGTGGGTGGACCTCACCTCTCTCCCTCTTTCTCATACACACTTTTACAGTCTCTGTGTATGTGTGCTCCTACTGTTGAAGTGTAATCAGCGGCACGGCGGCAATTACTGCAGACATATGTGTGAATAGAGGGGGGCTGTCCCAGGTCCTGCCTTCCTCCCCCTGCAGCCTAAGCCCAAGCCCAGAATGAGGCATAAAAGTTAGGCCGTGCAACGTCGAGCACAATTTGCCATGCGGCAGTGAGCGGATTTAGCACAAACTACTAAATGCAGCCGCAAAACTCAGAGCAGGAACACAGCAGTGCATTCTTCTTCCTGCCAGTAGGAGATGCCAGTAGGGCAGCTGCTGCTCCTTACATTTAAGGCCACGAATTGAATTCCTTGTTGTTTCAAGCTGCAGCTGGAGCTGGAGCGACCGGGGCACACGAATCGATTGAATTTATGGCCAGCGATTGATTGGGTAATTGGGCTTCGCTGTGCATTTGATGGCACTCAAAACGGAAATCATCTGCCAGGAGCCACTGCTTCCATTTGGCTAAGCACTGCACTCGAAGCTCCACTGTCAATATTTGCTTAGGTTAAGGCTAAGGATTGCCAGGAACCTGGGCTTCCATGAGAGAGAAATATGTATACATATATAGTATATATGTACTATCTGTAAATTTAATAACGTTTTATCGAGTCGAATTCTGTTTATTGCGTAGTGGAAATTTCATAGAATACTCTTCAAATCCTTCAAATTGGGAATGTTCCTTCGTTAGCGATTTTCCGGCTCATATCGACGGTAGCTAAAAACACAAACAAAAGCGGGGAATTTTCCAGCGCAATGCTAGTGGGTGGAAGGGTGGGTGGATGGGCAAAAGCATTCAATTTTTTATTAAATAACTTCATGGTTGGCTTCCCACCCGCTCCGCGTGTGGCTCCCTTCCGCCATGGACTCCTACTGCCGCACCCGTTGCTGCATCCTGCAAGGACTCCTCCTGTCACTCCTCGATGGCTCTGTCAATAGCAGGCAGCAGGCAGCAGCAGAAGCACCGGCACTGGCATCGGTTCGGTTCGGTTCAAGTGGGTTAAGGTGGCATGGCGGAGTGGGTTAAAGTGGGTAAATGGGAAATTTTATTGACGTTCTCGATGCCAGAGACTCCAAATCGCACATTATGCGTTATAGGGTTGAGGGTCGGCGGTCGGGGGTGGAGCTGGTCCTGGCCCTGAGCCTGTGCCTGTGCCTGCGCTGATCATTAATCTTTGCAAGCTGCCAGCCAAAGTGTTCCGACTTTTTTTCGGACTTCGATTGCCGTTCGTTGCACGTGTGTGTGTGTGTGTGTGTGTGTGTCTGTGCATCTGTGAGAGAGTGAAAGAGAGCGAGAGAGAGATCTGTGTGGGTGCGTGAGTGAGTGTCTGCGTTTGTGTGTGTCTGTGGGTGTGTGCATTAAATGGCGGATGAAGTCCATTAGAAAACTATTGAAGCACATTTTTGTCGATGGCAGCCAAGCAGAGCGACGGCCACAGCCAAACTCCACATCCTGTGCGGCAGGATGTGGCAACTGCAGCAATTGAATGCTATCCTTGATTCACATAACATCCCACCACCACCCCAACCCCCCCATCATCCTTGAGATTTAAAGAATTGAAAGGAAGACTTTTCAATCACACACAGACATATTTATGTGAGGAAAGGCTAATCAAATCTTAATTTTTCTTCTTCAACCATCCCTTTTATATTTTAGAAATTTCGAGTTTCACATTTAGTTTATTGGCCGAATTTCTATAGATTTTTATGATTATGTAATGGAACAAAAAGAAACCACCAAAAAAATTCCTTCCTTTGGAATTATATCCCAAACAGAGTCTTTCTATTTTTGCAGCTAATTATCCATTCAGTTGAGTAACTCTGAGCCCCTGATTGCTTTGGACCAATAGTCGTATTCCCTTTGAGTACTTTTTTTATATCTTTGAAATAAAATTTCATATTTAATTAGCTGCAAAAAACCATCCAAACAAAACTCTGCACCAAAAAGAGTAGAAGACAAACAGAAAGAAAATAAAATATATAAAAAGGTTGCGTTGAGGATACTCGTAGTAGACCGCAAATAAAGTTCTTTGAGTATTAGGCCAAATATCAAATATACTCGTGGGACGGAAAGAAACGAAATTAAATTTAATTTAATGAAAGGGGCATGGCACACCCACATAGGTTTTTTTTT